TTAGTTTTTCAAATGTAGGTCATAGCTCACTATGACTTAGTTACAAATAACTTTTTTTCCTCTTTCAGATGATGTGTTGCAGTAATAGTTTTGTGTTGATAACAACGGAGTTATCGTCATTTATACAAAAACAAAAAATTATTTGGAAGCCGCCATCTTGAATTTATAAATTTTAACAAGAAAATCATGATCTCCGACCTCAAAAACCCCCACTTACCAATTTTGAATGGAATCGGACCAAATCTTGTCCGCCATCTTGGAGCAGCCATTTTTTTTAATTTCAACAAAAATTCCATAATGTATTGTCACCGAGATTATGTACACCTGCCAAATTTCAAGTTAATCGAAGTTATGGAATTTTTGTTGAAATTAAAAAAAAAATGGCTGCTCCAAGATGGCGGACAAGATTTGGTCCGATGCCATTCAAAATTGGTGAGTGGGGGTTTTTGAGGTCGGAGATCATGATTTTCTTGTTAAAATTCATAAATTCAAGATGGCGGCTTCCAAATAATTTTTTGTTTTTGTATAAATCACGATAACTCCATTGTTATCAACACAAAACAATTACTGCGACATATCATCTGGGAGAGAAAAAAAAGTTATTTGTAACTAAGTCATAGTGAGCTATGACCTACATTTGAAAAACTAAAGTTGGTGCTGATATCTCAAATTCTAGAAGAGTTCGTATAAATTTCATATTTTTTTCGAAATCACTTTGAAAAACTGCCATGAGAATGTGAAATTCCTATTTGAAAATTTTCATAACTAAAGAAGTTACGGAGGAGACATGAAAATTATCAAAATCAGTTTTTTGCGTATAAAACAAAAACGAATAGATTTTATCAAAATATTTTTTCACATTATAGTTGGCTTTGACAAACTTCACATTTGGTGTCATTATTTAACCGACCTCGTATCTCTCACCGTTAAAAAGATACCCATGGTGAGCATGGTAAGTGGGACACACTGTATATACGATTAATCTTTGATCATTCTAATTAATGTTGTGAAGACTACTTTGAGTTACCATGAACTTCTTCCAAAGATTGCATGATAATTACCGATAATTTATCAAGATAGCGTAAAATCTAAAAAATTACAAGTTTATTTTAATATTTTGGCGAAAGAGCTTGAGTTCGAAGGAGGAGGGCTCTTTTACAAAATAGGAAAACAACCAAATGCGATTTGTGTATAAGATAACACGCTTGAATGCAAAATTATCTGGTCATTTCATTTTCATGCATAGATGTAATTCATTGGAATATTTCACGAATAAAGAAATTCTCGAAGAAATGTTGTTTCTTATCATAATACTGACAAAGACTATAAATAAAATGTGCTCACCAAAACGCGACATATTATTTCTCTTTTTGAAGTCTATCTGACATATATTTATATTATTTACTCTATAATGTGTTGTTATAGCGACAGGAAGTTTTCGCGGTGCAATTACCGTTGTAATTTTTCGATAAATGCATTGCTCTCATGAGGCATTTTATGAACTAGTGGTATTACCTTCGATAATTTATTAAATAATAAATGACTGTATCAAATACTTCTCATTCATGGAAAGATCAATATAAAAAAGGTATCTGGCGTAAATTCGTCTAATGTGTATTCGAGATATGGGGAAAGTTTTCTTTATTTCATTTCTTCAGTTTAGTTGAACGATCATATTGGCGTGTTTGCAACCATTATGTCATTTATTATTACACGAAGGAACTATTAATACACGAACATGCATTTTTTTTCAACTATTGAACTGCGCATATGTCGATACTGTTAAACACATGTTTTTCATAGAAGGACAAGCCGAGCATCGTTTTTTCAATGGCTGATATTTCGAATAATAGGAAAACGTGGTTCAACAGGATATGAATTCATTAGAAAAGTACAGCCATTATTCAGTGGGTTATTAAGGAACACTCCGTGTTTTACGCCCTACAGTGAAATATATTTTTTCCAATTGCCATAATTTTCCGCACGCAAACGGGTTCATTTTGGTCACGATTTGGGCTGATTTTCATAACCAATTCCAATATATGCTAAATATTTATTTCTGGAGGTTGGGATCCTATCGAAGAAAATTTGATTTAACATCTCTCGAAAACCAATCCAAAAATGTGAAATGCATCCTGTCTAACAAGGTACTTTTCTCAAGTCTTACAATATCTCAAAAGTTTAGAAAATTGCGCGGAAAATTAGCCTATTCAAGAATACTTATAGTCTCTCCGCATTCATCTTGAAAATATTAGGAAGGTCTGAGAATCGGTCGTAAGCTACTTTTTGAATTGAAAATTCAAGATGGCCGATCCAATATGGCGAACGAGTTCTGTAATTATGATACGATTCTATTCGAAATTGGTATCTGAGGCATTTTGGGGTCGGAGATTATGATTCTATCATCAAAATTGGGAAATTCAAGATGACAGATCCAATATGTCGGACGAGTTTTTCAATCATGATCCGATTCTATTCAAATTTCTGGAGGTTATATGCCTCGAGTAACACCTCCCTTGGCAAAGTGTTCCAGAGCCTCGTTATTCGTTGGATGAACGAGTCTTTGGAAAGAGATGTTCTGCACGAAGGGGTGCGAAGCCTCAACTCGGCGGGTTTATCTCGCGGGGATTGCCAAGGGAGGAACAATTGTTGATATTTCAGAAGAGTATCGTCCATGAAAATATCTTTAAAATAGAGCCAGATTGCCAACTCTTCTACGGTGTTCCAGAGAAGTGAGTGAGTTTGTGAGCGAGGCATCATCCACGAGACGAATTGCCCTTTTTTGGACAGAATCCAACAGTTTCAGGGTATGTTTGGGTGCTGCACTCCAAATATGGGAACAGTATTCCAGGACAGGTCGGATCTGTGCCTTATAGATCATAAGCAGCTGACTGGAAGTGGAATAGCTCCTGGCCCGAAACAGCGAACCAAGTTTTTGAGCACTTTCAGCAATTGATCTCACGTGATTTTCCCAAGAAAGGTTATTGCTGATAGTAATACCAAGCATCGAAATGGATGTCTTCGAAGGTATGGTTACTCCTGAAAAGCTTATGTAGGGCACAGTGAGATCGGCTTTTCTAGAGAAAAGGCATGCTTGTGTTTTGTTTGCATTGAAATCTACCAAGTTATTGGATCCCCATTCCAGAATTGATGCCAAGTCCATATTTATGTTGTCAACATTTCTCCCTCGTTCGTTTCTGATTTGCCTAGCTGGTATTGGAGCCCTGGAAGAGAAGACGTATGGAGGGTACTATCATCCGCGAAGAAGTGTACTGGACATGAAGTTGCTTCCAACAAATCGTTGATATGGAATCGAAATAGTGTTGGTGCTAGAATTGTTCCTCGCGAAACACCAGCATTTATGATAAGATAGTCAGATGGAACCTCGTCGACCACTAAATGGAGAGACCTGTTTGAGAGAAAACTAGCTAGCAGAGAACATAGCTGGGGAAGCAAGCAATAAGATGGAAGCTTGGCGAGGAGTCCGTGGTGCCAGACTCGATCGAATGCCTTGAAGATATCAAGTGCCACGGCTAAGGTTTCGCCATATTTTTCAAGTCCAAATATTAGTAATAGACGACCATTGGTGGTATGCGCGCGTGTTGAATAATTGGCGAAGTCGTGGTTGGAACTGGTGGCTGTTTAACAATGATCACTGGCAAAGTTTTCATTGGTCTGACAAAATTGGAAATATGCTTGAAAAAAAGATGAGACATTGCCTATTCGGTCGGAGTCACGTGATTTCAGCTACATGTCAAAATTCACATTTTTGCTAATTCATTGCTGGAAATAGGCTTATTTAATCGATTTTCTACAAAGTTCACTGAGGAAAGTTGTTTCCATTCCAATTTTACACATGTGTGGCGGATTTGATCGTTCTAATGCAACTTTCAGTTCTTGATATTTTTTGACTTCTTCTGAGTGTAAACTTCGACAAAACTGTCCTAGACTTTGGTTAGATACGTCAAGTAGCTTGATGATATTATGATAGATGACTTTGGCATCTTCTTTGTGCTGAAAAAATCAATTTGAATGAATTTCGCTCGTGAATGATAGACGATACATCAACTTTGCATCAAACATAACAGAAATTTGAAGCAGGGATTATTATTTTCTAAAGAAAATCCGATTTTTGACGATAATTAGTGATTCAAAAGTTGGTAGCATGATAGAGCTACTGAATTGAACTAGTTCTGTCGGTGTTATTTTGTTTTCAATGTTACAGACATTTTGCAGAAATTGAAAAAATATCAAAAACTGAAAAAGTCAATTGAATGGGCAAATTTGAGAAACATTGTATAAAATTGGGAAATAAACAATTTTTCTCAGTGAACTTTTTTGAAATTCGAACATTTAAGCCTAATTTGAGAGAGTAATTTGAGGAAATGTAACTTGACATGATGGATAGATAGATTTATTTGACTATGTAACTCATACAAAAATAGTTTATGAAATAAATACAAAGATAAAACAAACATAACATTACAAGAAAGCATCCTCGATCGTATCACAAGTACATAAAATTCATAAAATTCATAAAATAAAAGTTTGATTATATTCATCAACCGAATAAAAGACAATATCTGAGAAGGTGTTTCTTCACAGTCGTCTTGAAACATATGTCATTCATAGATTCAACCTGATTTGGTAATTTGTTGTAAAGCTTTGAATTCAACGAATTTTCCCTAGTTTTGACTAAACAAAAGCGAGGCACAAGTAAATCATTTGCATCAGCAGACCGTGTGTTGTGATGATGAAGGCTAGGAACTTTTGGAATGCTCAGCCTCCTGGAATGAATTTGTCTCGAATTTTAAAATTTAGAGAAATTCACGGGACCCAAACCTAGTAGTCCATTTTTCGAATTTTTCAAAGCAAAACACGGGGTAAACCATAACACCCCACACGTGTTCCGAAATAAATTAGTATTAAAAAATGTTTCTTATATGATGCCGATTTTATGAATGACACTGTATACTTATATATTATTTTTTATCACTCACCAGCTTTATTAGATCTTGGCTCTCTGGGACCATCTACAGTCACTTTGATAGCTTTATTGTACGTCGCTACTTGAGGAGGATTGGTCGAAACGGTTATCGTAACCGAAAACGATTTTCCTGAAAGAAAAATAGTGTTGAATTTTATTTCCGTTCGAGTATTCTTTCAAATTTAATGAATACCTCCATGAGCAGGGTTGCCGCAGGTGGTACAGTCGTACTAGATTTGGTAAATTTTTTCAAGAATAGTATATTGTGCAACAAGGGGGGGAAGTTCACCTTTTCTCACGAGTAAAATGATATTAGGAGTCAATATAGGTAGAAAATCACTTCGGGATTCAGGACTTGACTTGATCTTTGGACTTTCCCTTCCTCCTGCAATTTTCAGAACCCTACCATAATAATTACATGAGATACGGGGGTGCTTCCATGAGAAGTGAGACAAAATTCAATTTTTCTGAACTGAAAGTTCCTAGGAAAACTATGACTAGTTAGTGAATAGTGAATTGGGCGGCCTGATTCCGAATCCGAAGTATTTTCAACCTATTTCGACTCCTAATATCATTTTCCGAAAATTGGGGTGGTTCCATGGCTGTTGGCGAGCAGTGTATATCACTGAAGATGACCCCACTTGGTCATAGAGTGCATTTTTGGTATATCTCTCGCTCCAGCAAATTTCAGGATCCTTACCCAACGATTACGTAAGATACAGAGGTGTTTCCATCAGAAGTGGGTCACACTGTATACAAAATTCAGTATAGCTAGGCAAGGAGCAGGGGAAAATGTCAAAATCACCAAGTGATATCAAGGGAGCAAAACAAAATGTACTATTCTCTTCGTCCATCCATATTCTCATTTCGTAACTGGTGTCGAAATGAACATTTCATCACCAGTCATGAAACATTTTACTACACGCAACATTGTGTATCTCGAAACGATGAATTTTTTTCGCATCATGAAAGGGAAATTAAGTAGCCATAGCCAAATATTTGCATCGATATAATGTTTAAATCTGTTACAGAGCACATGGCACGCGACCATGGTCCATAATTTCGACTGAAATTTTCTTGTTTTATTCTACCACGTTATTAGAAGAATTACAATAATTGGAGGCACATGTGGTATTCGTAGAACGAGAATGATATTTTCTTGGTATATATACGAATCGCAGAAGGTACACATCTCGGTATACATTATTTACATATGAAGATATTTCTGTAAGGTATTCAGAGTTTTTTTGTTGTCCCTTGGGGCACACGAAAGGGAATCCCTATAATGTTTCTAAGAACACCGTTTTTTTCAACTCGAAATTCGGTATAAAGATTTCAATGGCATATTCTCCAGGTCAAGATGATATTTTTTCCGTGAGCTTCCATAGCTCTAAGTTTCTGAGGTATTCAGCGGTTTTTTTATTGTAACGATAGTTTCTCTATTTTCATTGAAAAAAATTTGAATTTGCTCATTTATTATCTCATATTTAATATATGTACTTATATTTCATATAAAGTGCTCAAAGAAACAAGTGAACCACTGAAATATTTGACAATTTTCAAACTGCCATATCTCTTTAGAAAATGAATGGATTTTCAATCGGAATGCAGTGCTTGGAAGATGCAATCTTTCTGTTCAAGATTTCCTGTTCAAAACTCGCCGGGAGTTTTTCTGTCATCATACACCAAGTGTTCGAAAAAAGTATTATTGAAGTTGTCGATGATTTCAACGCAATATGAATCCATTTTCTAGGATGTGTTCCGTCGTATAGAGTGTCAAAATACGTTGAATGTGGCTTGCATAATTTTAAAATCGAAAAAGATGAGATAAAAACCTAAAAATGAAAAATTATCGATTTTGAACATCCTGTATGAGGAATATGGAAAATTATAAAACCGTTTCGAGATATTGACTTGAACGTTCGAAAAAAATGATTAGTAGAAAAATAAAAAGCATTCCCTGGAATACGGAAGCGTTTGAATTCTCTCATTTTTGTAATACTTTTTTCGAACACTTGGTGTATGATGACAGAAAAACTCCCGACGAGTTTTGAACGGGGAATCTTGAACAGAAAGATCGCATCTTCCAAGCACTGCATTCCGATTGAAAATCCATTCATTTTCTGAAGAGATATGGCAGTTTGAAAATTGTCAAATATTTCAGTGGTCCACTTGTTTCTTTGAGCACTTTATTTAGGAGGATTATAGGCTGATGATAGACACATGACTGTCCGAAACATGTTTCCTGGATGATCTTCGATTATCAAACGTTGTGCAAATGATTTTGTGTTTTTTATAATCCTATCATCATTACATTCCACATAAGATTATCTACTTCATTTGAAAAAAACCCAAATATAAATGACGTAGGTATTCAATTCATTAAATTCATTTTATCTGTTGAATAAAACTGACAATACGTAATCATTTTGAATTTATCAGCATTATATTGCGGTGTTTCTGGAAGAATTATTATACCAACAACCTGCGGATGTGGCTCCATTATCACTCACCAGATATCCACGATTTCCATAATTTTTTAATCGCCTTCACGATAACTTCAACTATCATTCCAACATTTCCTTATAAATATTCTTCAGTCATAAACTACTCAACACTAATTTCGTCGCATCCCAAAATTTTCCCGAAACGTCCAAAGATAAGTACAAATTCGATATTTTCCCAATATATCTATAGAAAAGCTATTGGATTTTTCTTTTAGGCTCCCTGATAAAACAATTTGTTAAACGCAGTGACATTTTGGATCAAATCATCTGATTTGCATCAGTGCGTCGGGGTTCGATTGTTCGAGTTCTATGATAGCTAGAAACTCGATTCAAAAACGAATGTGAATGAGACAACAAGGTGCATTGCAAGAAATTATTGTCGTATATACAGGGGGCACCGGAAACAATCTACAGGGTCTGAATCACTTTTTTCAAATGGAATGCCTAAATTTTTGGCAATGTGTTCCAGAGCCTCGCTGTTCGTTGGATGAACGAGATTCAAAAATGGTTACGAATATCAATATGAGTGTTAAGATAAAAGATGTTCGTGTTTCGATTTTACATCAAATGGCCTAAGAATATATGGGGTGTTCCATTTGAAAATCTCGAGAAAAAGGAACTTCCAAAAGTTCCGAATTGAAAAATCATTTTCAGCTACCCTGTATAATTCGAGGGCATGAAAATACTACAGAAATATCACACATGTTTCCATCAAGAGATATCATGATTATTCCCTCTTGAATCTCATAATTGTGACTACAGTGATTTTTTCGGTATGCGTCTGCAGATGACATTATTTCGACAAAAAAATTAATAACTTTGAAATTATCGAGATATATTCAACAATATTATAGGACTGGATGGAGTTCACAGGGATGCTTCAAAAAATGTGCTAATATACAGCGTGTCTCACTTCAAACGGCCCCCCCTCTATATCTCAGTTATTAGTCATGCGATTCCAACCAACTTTGGTGTGGTATGAATAATCATCAATATAATCAGTTTTACAGAGATGCACATTATTTTGGGCAGTGCCGTGCGTTTTTATTGAACTGAATATGGGTCGATTTTTCATAAAAAATCTAACCTCATATTATTGTTCCTCATGCTTTCGAACTGTCATATGCAAAAAATCACTTAATTCCGAATTAACAGGATTGGCTTCATTTTTTTCGTTTTCAGTCTCGAATAAATAGTGACTTCAAATCAACTACAAATTTTGTAACGTTCAATGGCTCCGGTAGGTGGAAAATCATGATTTGGACGGAAAAACGATGAGTTATACTTTTTTATGTTGAACTCACTGTTTTCGAGTAAATAACTATTACGTTCGCAAAAATGCTGTTTAGATGTGCCTGTTTTTCTGAAACCCTTCATAGGCATCTTATAAAAATCTTCATATGGAGGTTTGAAACCATGAAGAACAATATTATGAGGTCAGTTTTCCTGTGAAAAAATGTCTAATATGATTCAATAAAAAACTGACCCCTATTCATTTCAATAAAAATGCACGGCACTGTCTAAAATGATGTTCGTCTTTGAAGAACTGGTCATATTGATGATAATTCATACCGCTACAAATTTGGTAAAGATCGCACGACTGATAGCTGAGATATAGAGGAGGGGCCGTTTGAAACGAGACACGCTGTATAGAGCATTACATTTAAAAAAAGTGATCCTAATCCTTCAGATTTTTCCGGTGCCCCCTGTATATGCGGCAATGATTTCTAGTTATGGACCTTGTTGTCTCATTCATATTCGTTTTGAAATTAAATTTCTAGCTATCATAGAACTCGATCAATCGAGCTCCGATGCACTAATACCCCACCCTGTATATTATATATATGTGATAATGTAATTTTCCCTCTCCATTAGTTTGTGATTCGCACTATCTATTAGCTAAAAATGCGCCCATTTGGCTCGATCCGCCGTTTTTTTATCATATTTCCAAAAATAAACAATGAATTTTTTTTTATCGCTTGGAGCGCACGAAAAGGAATCCCTATAATGTTCAAAGAACATCGTGCTTTCCTAGGGAGGATAGGCACAGGAGGTAGGTATTGGAATTTTTTTTGAACTTCTGGAGATTATACAGTGTGTCCCACTTACCATGCTCACCATGGGTATCTTTTTAACGGTGAGAGATACGAGGTCGGTTAAATGACACCAAATGTGGAGTTTGTCAAGGCCAACTATAATGTGAAAAAATATTTTGATAAAATCTATTCGTTTTTGTTTTATACGCAAAAACAGATTTTCATCATTTTCATGTCTCCTCCGTAACTTCTTTATTAATGAAAATATTCTAATAGGAATACCATATTCTCATGGCAGTTTTTCAAAGTGATTTTGAAAAAAATATGAAATTTATACCAACTCTTCTAGAATTTGAGATATCAGCACCAACTTTAGTTTTTCTAATGTAGGTCATATCTCACTATGACTTAGTTACAAATAACTTTTTTTCCTCTTTCAGATGATATGTTGCAGTAATAGTTTTGTGTTGATAACAACGGAGTTATCGTCATTTATACAAAAACAAAAAATTATTTGAAAGCCACCATCTTGAATTTTTAAATTTCTTCAATAACCCCCACTTACCAATTTTGAATGGAATCGGACC